CCCAAGTATCGTTTTTTTTCGTTTTTTTTTCGGATTCGTAATCTACATAACAAGAGGATCGTAAAAACGTAAAAATTACCTCCGATCTGTTGACGATTTGCACGGGCTTTGCGAACGAAAATCGAAAGGGTAGAGAGAGTTTTTTGAGTTTTTTACCTTTTGTTTTTTGAGAAATGGTAAAAAATGTGCCTGAATGTTTAATTTGTGCCTGCACAAATCATTTCAGTTCTCAAAATAATATAACTTATTTATTAATAATCAAATAATATAATGAAAATACTTAGGTCCACTTAGAATGGAGTATTGAGTGGGATAAGTAGTGTATGTCACATTCGGACAAAGTTATTTATTTATACAAAATTTAGATACCTATAGATTTCATAAAATAAATAAATAAAATTATAATAAAAATTAAAAAAAAAAAGAGACTACTTGAATTGTTTAGTTGAAGAAATCATGTTCTAAGTTTTGATTCCAAAATGTATTACTAAATAAACGAGCATTGATCTCCGACGATCCGAGAGTCGTTACAAAGATACTATTGAGTTTTCGAGGTTACGTTTAAATTTGGTTTAATTGGTGGAAATTGGAATGAAGATTGCGAGTTCTGTTGATTCTGATCTGAAATGTTCTGAATTTTTTAAGTTCGGATTTCAGTTTTTTTTATCTGAATTGGAATACATATTGATTATGAATTATGAATTATGAATTATGATCCGATTCTAATTTTTGGAAATATTTTTGAAAATTCCGATTATTTTTGAAAAAAATAACAATTGTTTTGATTTTCGATTTACCCGAATCTCTTTTGAACGAAATTTGAATTTGTTTTATATGCCGAAGAAAAAAAATTGATTTTTTTTCTTTCTAAAAGTACTAATTATTTTCCGCTTGATTTTCATCCCTAGGTTTGATTAGCAACCAATTTTTCTTTTTTAGGAAAAAGCATCCAAGTTAAAAAAAATGTGTTTAGACTTGATTCGACAAATAATCGAGTTGAGCTGGAACGAGCTTCAATCAAGTCTAGGACAATCGAATAGCTTGATATTTCACACATTTTTTTCCCTAATCGTGCTCGAGCTAGAGTAGAGCTATACATATATACATTATCCAATAAAAAAAATATGTGTTCTAAGTTTGATTAATTGTGTTAACAAATTTTGTTCAAACATTTTTTTGAACGCAAATAAACAACAATATTAAATCGAATGCCAAGTAATTTAATTTAATTCACACCTATTGACTCAGTTCGTGGTCACATGTATGTAGTCTCCCCTATTTATTTACTTGAATTAAATTCGATTAAATATATAATTATAATTTGACTATTTCAGAAAGATACCGACCTTTCTAGAAGGATGTGAAGAAACCGCGTTGATCAGGACCGTCCAATTCACAGTATACATAGTAGCAGTTCATAATTAACGGTGACTGGGTGACCGCATTTACTCTTTTCCAAATTAAAAAATATATATTTATACAGTTTTCATCCTTCAATTTTGAACTGACTTTATATTTAACCCTAATGTTCACAAAAATCACATTTAGTCCATTAGTTTCAAAAATTCGACGTTTTTAGTTATTTTCGTCGATTTTGTGTTAGTACTAACGGAATCAAGTGTGTTCTCATCATCGCCTTAACTGACGAACTAACAGTAAATTGACGGAAATGACCAAAGATGTTAAATAATTGAAATATGAGGGACCAAATGTGTTTATTTGTTAACATCGGGAACCAAATGTGAAACCAATGCAAACTTGAGAGGTGAAAACTATAATTTTTCCAATATATATTAATTTTCTTAAGGGTGTTGGACCAAGTACTCTTCACCAAAATGTAATTAATATATCAACTGTCAACCGTCTAACAATATTTCATTTTAATTAAAAAAAAAAAAAAGTAGATTTAATTTTATAAAATTGAGTTTTAGTAAACAAAATGTTGTGTGATTTTGTTATTATTAGGGTGTTGATTGTAATATTCCAATTTCAACGTGTTACTCTTTCCGTCCCAATTTAAATAACATTTTGGGTTGTTGCGCCACATATTAAAAAAATCAATAAAATGTGCATATTTCACAGTAAAAAAAATATAGAAAATTACAGAAATATCCCTGACATTAACTGTTTTACAAAAAAATAATTAGAAGTGATAAAATGATAGAATTGAAATAATGCAATTACTGTGGGGAAAAATAAATAAATAAATAAATAATGTATTGTGTGTTCTCTAAAGTCAGCGACTATTTGCAAGACGAAAATTACTTAGGGCAAGACCAAATTATTTTTTTTATTAAATTCAGTATAAAAAGACTATAATAACCTTAATAAAATACAAACAAAATAAAAATTATTTTATTAATTTCCTTTTGCAAGACCAATTTAAAAAAGAAAAAATAATAAAAAAAGAAAGAAAAAAAAAATTGAATTGAGAATTGAAAAACGAGGAGGGAAGAAGGGAAGAAAAAGGGAATTGCAGCACTCAACCGTCGCCGTCGCCCCGTCGCCGTCGCCGTCGCCGTTGAAGTCCACCACCTCCCCGTCGCCGTTGAAGTCCGTTGTTGCCCCAACCCCGCCACAACAATCTCACGAAAAGCAAGTAAGGAAATTACTTTTTGAATTAATTTTTTTTTGAGAAATAAATGTGATAAACATAATTTTATTGTTAGAATAATGAATTCAAGTCAGTTTAGAACATAGTTGATGATTCTAGGGTTCGATTGTAGCACTATTGTTGAAGGAGTTGCGGTTTTACGAAAAACGACCTGTTCTTGTCGATTTTTTGGAAAAATTTCGACATACTAGTGTCGATTTTTTCATCAAATTTCGACAGCAAACAACAGCGTCGAAATGTCCGCTTAATATCGACACAACAGCGTCGAAATATCCGCTTAATATCGACACCAGAATGTCGAAAATTTCAATATAATTCGACAGTTAAGAAGTGTCGAATTATGTTGAAATTTTCGACACTACTATGTCGATATTAAGCGGATATTTCGACCTGTACATGTCGAATTTTTTGTACGTGAAATGAGGTGCGAAAAACGAGAAAAACGATCACAAAGTACAATATTTCTTACCTCTTTGTGTTCTTCGACCTTAGAATCCTCCATATTTATGTCTTGTGTATCCATAATGTCCTTTTTTTCAAGTTTTAGTAAGATTTGAGGGTTTTATGTGATAAGAGTTTTGGAGAATATGGAAGATTTTTTTGTGCAAAAAAATGTGTAAAATGAGGGTGAAGAAGAAGATGTTGGTGTTTTGTTGGGGGAGTGAGTTCCCTCTCCTTTTTCCTTTTTTTTTTTATTCTTTTTTTTTTGTATTTTTTTTTTGGTCTTGCAATAGCAATTAGCTTAATTTAAATTAATAATATCTAAATTATTATTGGGGTTATATTTGTAATTTCCAGTCTTGATCTTAGTAAATTTATTTATATTTTGGTCTTGCATGAAGTAAGGTCTTGCACTTAGTAATTTTCGTCTTGCAAATATCTGCAGCCTTCTCTAAATTATAATGTATTATGAGCTAAAGGGCCGGGCTAGGTTCAATGTTTCCCTTAATGGGCCCGACGGGCTGAGCCCATATGTTCAGCACTATTTTAAGGGAATGGTAACATTCTTTACATTTATAGTGCAAAAAAAATATCTTTATTAGTGTGACTTTTCAATTTTGTGAAAACATTGCACCAAATTTGATCAATCAAAAACATCCTGGTACACTAAGATAAGTTTATCCATAATTTATTCTTTCAATGACCTTACAACACACGCACCCGAGAGACGCTCTGCGACCACTAGGCGAAGCCTTACTTGGTACTAGATACGTTGGCCATAATATCTACAATCAAACGATCCAAGAAATTGCATGACGACTCTCCTTCCAAGAGCACCAATCGACTCTTCTCTTTCAACACCTTCACCTTACCTCGGATCCCATTCTCCGGGTCCATCAACCGTTCGATCGCCTTTTCAATGATCTCCGCATCGACAATCATGTTGCTATCCTTCCTATAGTCCATCTTAATCTCAACCGCCATACCAAACTCCTTAACCAACTGGAACGCATTCACCTGCTGCTCGGCAGCTAAAGGCCACACCGCCATCGGTACCCCACACCACACGCTCTCCAGCGTCGAGTTCCACCCGCAGTGGGACACGAACCCTCCCACTGCAGGGTGCGACAGAACGGCCATCTGTGGGACCCACCCGACCACCTTTCCAATCCCCACCGTCCGCTCCAAGAACCCTTCCGGCAACACTTCTCCGGGATCTTTGTACTCCCCCGGAAACTCGAATTTCTCCTTCGGAGGCGGCTTTCTCAACGACCACAGAAACCGACGGCCGCAGTTTTCCAGTGCCACTGCGATCTCCTTCACCTGATCTGAATCGAAACTTCCCCTGCTACCGAAGCAGAGAAAAACGACAGACGAATCGGGCTGCTCATTTAGCCACCCGATTACTATTTCGTCGTTTTCATCGTTTTCTTCTTGTACTATTGGCCCGATAGGGTAAACCGGTGGGATCTTCTCATCTCGAGAGAGTGAACTAACCGCGTGGGGCTCGAATTCAAGAAATGTGTTTACGATAATCCCTTTGGCACGTCTAAACTTCCTCATAAGATTGAGGAAATAGTCACCATTGTCCTTTTTGAATACTAAATCGGGCCACACCCTAGCGGGAACAGGGTTGACGTACGTCGGAACAGACACGACAACATCCGTGTCTTTGTAAACTGCCGGTTCCTGGCCGTGATCGTCGTTCATAGACTGAAGGTGGAACATCAGCCCAAGAGTCGCCGCACCGCATGGGAAGAAAACGTAACTCGGGACATTAAATCCATCGGCCACGTCAATCATGGTAGTACAAAACATGTCGACTACAAATCCGGCTACCCTAATCGAACCCTTCAATATCTCGGATACAGCTTCTCGGACAAGGACCTTTTGGCTCTCGATGAAGCCAGCCCCGAATTGTTTGGGAGGCTGCGTCGTCAACTCGTTAGTAACGGACTCGTTTTCGGGTAGATGTAAGAAGTTGATATACGAGAGTTCTTGGGTGAGTTCTTGGTGTAGGAATCGATCTTGGTGTCGATAGGCAGTTTCATGACGAGGATTGTGACCGATAGGCGTTCGTCTCGATTGGAGAGGAGCATCGCCGCCTTCACCGCCGCCACTAGGTGGCTTATTACAGGGAATGGAATGAAGATGAGATTTGACTTTTGGTCAACAGACATTTTTTGATGTGGAATTTAAGGAAATATGGGATTAATTGGGGAAATTTAAAATTATAATTAAAGGAGGATTAATTGTACAAGAGACTAATAATTCAGATATATTTATAGTATAAGATATATTAGGCCTTAAGTCAGCTGTGTTTAATCTGTGATTATACATCTTAATAAAATATTCAGTCGTTTGATTTGATTGACTGCTTCTTGATCTTCAAACATTTTATATACATTATATTAGCCAATATAATCACAATTTGTGAATATATATTATAGTCTATAGATGAATTCTTGGGCACCAAGAAGGGAACATACGTCACTGCTTTGCTGTCACTATAATATTACACTGTCCCATGTACTAAGTTTTGCAAAACCACCACTGTATAATCTTGAATTTCCGAAAAAACTCTCAAGTTATTTTTTTGTAACAAGAACCTCTCAGTGCTGCATGCGCGAATTGTGCGACTCGGGTGTATTTTTTTTTACCATGGAAGGACCAAAATAAACTTTAAATAATAAATTTCTGAAATTATAGATTCACCCAAAAAAACTCAGCTCCAAAATGAAGTTTTTCAAAACTTTATTCTTTATTATTAGAGTTTTGGTTTGATGGAGAAAGATGAAGAAATAATTTTTTCTCTCGTTTTATTTTTGTATTTTGTTTCTAATTTTATTTCATTGGGTTAGGTATTTTGTTTTATTTTTAATCAAGGGTAATTTTGTCATCTCATCTTAGTCAATTGAAAAAAATGAAATAAGAAGCAAAATGAAATAAAAAGCTATGCGCTTTGTAAAACATAATATTGGGTAATTGGGTGGTTCTTGCTAATTTTTTAATATAAGTACTCTTTTGGCAATTAAAAATTACACAGCAAATTATGTGCAATTAACTCAAAAAATGATATAATTATATATAAATCTTTCATAGTATAAAGTAGTTTTCTCTTACATCAAACAATGATATAATATCACTTCTTCTTGTCCAAAAAACAATATTAAAAATATCACTTATAACATTTAAAAAAAATATATAATAAATCACAACCTTAAGAAGTCCTACCACTATTGCAGGATACCCGAGTACAGTGGGCCCCATTTGTTTGATGAAAAACCTTAATTCTTCAGATACATAGATAGGACCACTGGGGCCCACTTCGTACCTAGCTTTTTGTTTGTGCTGAGTCATCATAGGCCCATCCAATTTATGCGTCTGCCTTTTTTTCCTGGTCCCCACCTTAGCCCCATCGCCATTGCAATCATATCAAGCTCCCCCACTCGCCACTACTATCTATGCCTTCAAATTATCTTCATTATTTTCTTCACACTTTTCACATGTTCTAATTAATTAATATTAATATTAATAATAATTACAATAATAATAATAATTATTATTATTATTATTAAACATGACCCGACATTTAGAAATTGCTACAATTGTGATCAGAAATTAAAAAAAAAAAATGGTTCGGTGTTAGAATTTTTTGAAACGTTTGATCCTCGCAATGTATGGATTTTATTAAAAACATAAATTCTTTCTTTTTCAAATTATACATTAATTATTCGTAATTTTATACATCATTTTCGAATTTTGTTTTTAAATTATCATTTTCCTCACTTTGGAATGTTACCCGTGCATCGCACATGCATAAATACTAATTCTCGCAATTCTACCATATGAATACTTAATAATACGAACAAACTCACAAAATATCATAATCGAACCAAAAGAAACGAGGATTTATTTCGAAACTACTTAACGGTATATCTTACAGATGATGACGAACAAAAAAAAAACATGGAGCTCATGTCGAACCGACTTAATTTAAAGAACCATAATTCTTTTTTTACAAAAAACGATAATTAATTAATTAATTAATTAACTAATTAAACCGATCGGGAAAGTACTCTAGTGCTGGTGGTGCTGGCACTCGAGCGGAGTGGCGGGAAACCGAGCAGTATCGGAGCAGTAGTCGTACACCATGTGATTGGCCCTCACCCAAAGAAGCTGGTGGCTCTGGTGTACGTTCAGCTCCGACATAGTCGGCTGGTCCCACCAGAACTGCTTGGGATCACCTGAAGCGGCGGCGCACCGTGAAGCGACGGAGTCGGGGCATTTGCAGCCGTCGATTTGGAAACCAGTGTAGGATGCAATGAAGGGTCCCTTTGACCAATCTGTTTTGACTCTACCACCTTGTGTTGCCCAATCGTCTGCGTTCCAAATTGAGCTGTACACTCCCATTGGTTGGTCTTTTGGATAAGGTATTCCTTTGTGCTCCAGGTTTGTGTGTACTCTCACTGGTGTCTCATCTACCAAGAATCTGCATTTTTCATTTTAAAATTAATAATTAATTATTATTAATCAATAAATATATAGGTTATTTACATTTATGAATTCAAGAATTTGGATTAATTTATTAATGACATCCTCAAAAAGCCAAAAATAAAATCATTTAGTAGCTAAAGAAAATTGAAATTGGAAGGATAATGTTGCTAAATCGGAAGTTTCGGTGTCGAAATCGGGAATGCAAATACTTATTATGTTCCAATTTTCAATTTTCAATTTTCAAATTGATTGATCACACAGAAATTGAAATGAAAAAAGAAATATATATGGAAAATTTCAGATCGAAATCGACGAAAGTCGAATATTTTGTTCCGATTTTTTTTTTATTATTATTATTATTAAACGAAAAGGAAATTTAAAAATTGAACAAATAAAAAAAAAATCATTTAGTACTTAGTAGCATAAGAAGAAAATTTAAATTGGAATGAAATATTGCGAAATTCGTAAGTTTCGGGATTTCGATCGATATCGGGGAATTGCGAATGCAAAGACTTGTTATTATGTTCCGATTTTCGAAATGATTGATATATCACACATTTGGCTGAATTGGGGAATATTAATCAAAAATTGAAATTAAAAACAAAATATGGAAAATTTCGGATTGAAATCGACCAAATTCGAATATTTTGTTCCGATTCATTTTTTATGAAAATAAAATAAAAACTAAAATAGAACAAATAATTGTGGAAAGTTAGGTAAACATATATAATTGTGCATGGGGATTGATTGATGTATTGTGTGCCAAAATGTTGGTGCTTTAGGCTATACACTTTCCACTTTTCCCATGTTACCCTCTGTACATATTAATTTGTTCACCAAACACACACACACAAACACGTATCCGTGCGTGTGTGTGTTTTTTAGAGAGAGATATCTAGAGAGAGAGAGAGAGAGGTCTAGAGAGAGGGGGCTTACACAACTTGGCGGTGATTCCAGAGAATGGAGTAAGAGTGAAAATCCTTGGTGGGGTCAAACCAGAGATTCAACCTCTGTTCTCTATTGCCAACTCCATTAACGTACACATTTGTCTGAACAAGGTAGGGTTCCCCTGTGGTGTTCCCCAGGAACTCGAAATCAAACTCGTTGTGATACGGACCGTCCGATGACATCTGCCCCCAATAAATATATATATTTTTAAATTAAATATTTTCTTGAAATCAAATTAAATTAAAATTAAACTTACATAGTAGGCGGTGACAGTGCCAGCAGAGTCACCCTCAACAAGCTTAATCTGAACAGTGACTTTCCCAAACAAATACTTGCTCTTTGATGAAAATCCAGCTCCTGTGTCACAACATATTATTTATTTATTTATCCAATATTATTTAATATTAAATAAAATAATAATAAAGATTAATTAATTATTAATTACCAGAGTAGTTATCAAGTTTCATGTTGAGAACATCTCCTTGATAGGTGAAATGATCCAAAGCCCAACTGGGTTGAAAAAGATCATCAAATCTTGAAGATGATGATGATGAGCACACACAAGTGCCCACTAGTGCGAATGCAGCAGATAATAACCCGAGTATCACATATCCCTTTACCATTGCAGCAGTTTTTCAAGAATTTAAATTTTAAATATTTTTTTTTTATTTTTTTTTAATGTGAGAGCAGAGGAGTGAGAGTGGGGAAAGAGGAAAGGGTTTGGGGTTGGTTTAAATAGGCAGTGCTGGCTTCATTTGGAAGCCACTCTGCCACGTCATTATCTTCCCCATTACGTGTCAGATGCCACGTCGGACAATAGTGATATTGGTGTGGGTGAAATTGAAATTTGGATGGAGCCGTTGGCTAATTAGTGTTGGCTTAGCTTAATTTCTGCTGATTTGGCTTACACTTGAATTTTCTTACTATTTTTGGCGTAAATTACGAACTAACCCTTTAGGTATGTTTGACTTACGAAAATACCTTTCTTGTTTTAGAAATTATAATAATCCCCTAAGGTATATTACTGTCTATGACGTATAACTTTCAGGTTGTAATTGTAGGATTTTAGTATATTAGGGGGTTTATTACTAAATTTTCGGGTGATATGAATTTTTTTATTTGACTTCGTATAAAAATATATATGGTAAATTATGAAACCCCCGGAACATAACCTAAATTACAAAAAACACCCATCTATTCGTAATTACTAAAATTCTACCGACGTTTGTCTATCTCTTATATCGACCCCTTTATGGTGTGATTTTTTCACGAATTGTTTTTGAGTGGATGGATTATTCTTTAAAATAAATGCTGATTTAACCCTTGTAGATATAGTATTTCCTTATGCTACTTTTTAAAGATAAAAAATTAACCTTATGGGGCTTTTACACGAACTTTTTATTCTTCTTAAACCACACATTCACATCTTCTTAGTATAACCATTTCCGCTATGTGGTTAATTTTTATGTTCAAAAAGTAGCAAAAAGAAATATCACGTCTATTTGTAAATTTCACAAAATATTATAAGAAATAAAAAAGATTCCGTAAAAAGTCATACCGTAAGGAGGTCGGTGTAAGACATAAACAAACATCTTTCGTTATTACGGATATATGGGTGTTTTTTTGTAATTTAGCCTATATTCAAGGGGGGTTACGTAATTTACCCAAAAATGTTAAAAGGATGTTTATTTTCTCACTTCCACGTATTTAATGATTCATTTCAAATTAGTCATAACAAACAAAACTTCAAAAGAATCGAAATTCATATTAATAAAAAAAAAAGTTAAAAATGAAAATTGGATATTTTTCTCTCTATGAAATTTGAATTTGTTGAAATTCAAAGTTTGGTCCCCAAAGTAGAAATAAAAATTTGGAGCCGTTAGCTCAGCTTAGCTGGCTGGAGGGGGGACAGGGCGTAGGACTGGTCGCTGTTAAGGAAAAAGATAACTGAGGGGACGACAACCAATCACGTAACTACACGTGGATACTCACAGCTGGGTTGCTGCAATCTACAGTTGTCTTCTGCCAGTTGTTGATAAAAGGGACCCTTTTCTTTTTGGCCTATCAGATCAATTCGATTCGCGTGTGCAGCACTACCCAATAGTATTTTTTGGAAAATATCGAATACAAAATTCAATTTTTATTTATTTTTTTTATGTCGATTTTGTCCTTTTTATTTTGTTTTCTTTTGCATTTAGGAATTACATAAACGTGATAATATGCTTATTTTTTGTTATAATTTTTTTTAGAAATGTCTAAATGCGAGCATTGTGGTTTCTAATTTAATCATAGCTCCGAGGATATAAGTCGCCTTGATTATTTCAACGCTCGTTATATTTTAGGCGTGTGGGTGTCTTTTATATTCAAATTTCAATTTACGTGGAGAATAAATCACACTGGCTCTTGGAAATTTGAATGGAATTTCGTCAATTCTATCCAGAAAAATCAGTTTAGAAAAATATTTTTCATTTCAAATTCAGAAACATAAAAAAACGATCTTCACCTTTTCGAAATCTCTACGAATCAAACTATAATATGAAATTTTAAATATTGATATAGTTTGATTCGGTTTTAATTTAAAAAAAATGATTTCAAAACTTGCATTTTTTTTTCAAAAGGTGCATCAATGACATGAATATTATTATTATATGTTTCACAATAAGTAAACTAAAAAAAATATTGAATTAGCTTTTCAAATTCGGAAAAGAAAAATGAAATATGTAGAAAGTGTTTATTTCGATCTGATCTCCAATCTCGATAAAATTATTCAAATTTAGTTCTAAAAAATATCTCAATATTTGTGTTAACAAATAGAAAAGTTATAAAGAGAGACAAAAAATAAAAAATAAAAAAATAAAATGTGAAATTAAAATAATAGATGCGATGCGAGTTGGCCTTTTTACTAGAGAATGAATTTATGGAGCATAACTTTTACTCCCTCTGTCCCATATTATATGTCTTTTTAGAGAGTTTTTTTGTCCCAAATTATTTGTCATTTTAGATTTTCAATAAAGCATTAATTGAATTATTTTCAATTTTACCCTTAATCACTCTTAATTAATTAATTGAGAATCAATTAATGTCAAGGATATTTTAGTAATTGTATATGTTCTTTTACTATAATCTATGCACATTTATTGATTTTCTTAATATGTGCAAAACAACCCAAAAAGACATTTAAATTGGGACGGAGGGAGTATTTCCTCTTTGTAATTTTCTTACATTTTGTATATGCTTTGATGAAGCATATCCAGCTGGACTGTGCAAGCACTAAATACTTTGGCATCTTTTTCAAGATTTTTTTTTCTAAATATTAAAATAAATAAATAAAATAAAGTTCTGATTTAATCAGTGAAAAAATCAGTGCCATCCTTTTTATAACCTAAAAAAGTGTGCCATTTATTTAATTATTAACTTTCATAAATTATAATGAAAAATAGGTCTGCTTTAAATAAATAACTTTGTTTGGAGAAGAGAATGAGGGCAGGTGAGGGACATGTCCCAGAATATCCTCTTCACTAAAATTATCCCATAAAACTGAAATTAAATTATATTTATATATATAAACAATATAATTTAAGGGTGAAAAATATTATAAATCATCAATTAAGAGGTAAGTGTTATAAATGATATATTTTAGGAGTATAAACTGTATTTAACTATTTTTACTAAAATGACACTGCATGGACTTTAATGGTTTAATCGCAGCTTTCACCCTTGAACTATGGCTTTAAACACTTTGCATCCTTAAAAAATAATAATAGCAGTTTGCACCCTCAAATCACGAATCATGTATAATGTAATATTTTTTTAAAGTAAAAAAAAAGTAATTTAATACTTTAGTGGTATTTTTAGGGATGTGAAATATAACATCAATTCTTTTTATTCATCGATTCTTTCGAAACTACAAAGTGTATAAATAATGAAAAGAAAATAATCAATCCAAAAATATTTTATCATTTGTTATAATAACCTTAAGGAATTTAAATATATATATAAATATTTTGGTACACAGTACAGTAAGATATATATACTTGGCATCAATAACGTATAGCATACCGAAATTCCAAAAAATCTTTATTGAATAGCGAAGGACTTTTCTATCGACTATGTTGACTCGTACTGAATTTTCGATTCGATTCGATTCGATATGCTATATTCGAGCCCGGATGGTCAATTAGAATATTGTTTTACCTCAATTTATTAATAAAATGAACTTATACTAACATATATTGGCGCAATGATTATTTATTTGTGGGGGTTGTGCCAAGTTTTAATGATGGAGTAGACATTTGATTGGCTGATGGAGGGGGCAGGTATTCATCAAACATCAATCCCACAATTTATTTATTTATTTTAATTTATAATTTATATATTTAAATATGATGGAGAAAATAAATGGTTGCTTGTAGAAATAGAAGATGAGAGTATGGAGATCTGCAGCAGTAGCAGTTGCAGGATTCTTATTTTCAGACTGTGCACATATACATCATTTTCATTCTTATTTAAGTTATGAATTTTACATCATTCTACAAATTTAAGTACTGTAAGAAAATCATTGCAATGGAGTTCTGATGATTCTAATTACTTACATCACCAGGATAGTGTGGCAAATGAACCAAGAGAGTAAAGTGGATCAGTAGCTTGCCAATTTAATGATTCTGAGTTTCCTGTGAAATGAACACATGAGAACTAAGCCGAAGGTTGATCCCGCGGAAATCTCTTCCGGCGCTCAAGTCAGATGTACGGATCGTGGAGATGGTAGAGAGAATATGCACTCTAGAATATTTGTGAATAATATAACGTACCCTAACAAATGAGATAAAAACCTTTATTTTTATGTCGTTGATTGTGTTGGGTTTACTTTGTTGTGCCCAAATCTTATTTTGAAGGTCTTTAGCTTTCGTGTAGTGAACCCAATTTTTAGATAAATTGGAAGTCCATTGAATCGGCCAAATTAGGTATATCAAGTTCTTAAAATATTTTTTTCCATTTTGAAGACTTTAAACAAGAAATTATCCTTAGTAGATAGATATATCTAGTGACTTTACTCAAAACATTTTTCCTAATATTTGAGATTATTTTTAGAGATTATAGAACAAACAATTAATTAATTAATTAAAATAATCGATTTTGTAGAGTTCATCATTGCAAATATATGTGTCTATCGAGATTTTGAATTAAAAGTCGGTCTCTAGGGCAATGTTTAGAAGCGTTTTGGAACTCATTTTGATTTTATTTTGAGGAAATATGTTTTGGGGGAAGAATTTGAAAATGAAAGTAATGTTTGTTTATATTTTGGAAGGAGACAAAATACACTGTAGTAGTCACATAATGTTTAAAAGTGTTAGAGAAAGGTATTTTAGAAGAAAAAATTGAAAGATGAATTGATATTTATTTGGTTTTTAGTGAAGATATTTTTACTGTATCAGTCACATCATTTTACTGTAGCAGTCACGTCATGTCCGAACGAGAGAGAAACTTTTGAGATTGATTTGAAAAAATTATTTGAGAAGTGTAATAAATATAATTTTGTTTTGGGGAAATAATGAAAACAAAATAAAAACGCTACCAAACATTACCCAGGTAATACGATTACCTAATCTGGTTTTGGATATTATATGTCTTGAATGAAAAGTTCTAATTTTTTCTAAAAAAAGAAAAAAAGCATCTCCCATTGTCAGGGGTAGAAATTGG